TCTCTGAGTAGCCCGCGCCGCCGCGGGGCTCTCGGGCCGGCGCGTCCGTGGCTTTTCCCTCTTGGCCACCCTGGGCAGGGTTCTTTTCTCCTGCGAGCGCGTTAACAGACAATTAATCGTCTGTGATCAGTGATCACCACAGAACCTCCCTGCCTACCACTCTCAGTTCCCCTGAGTGGCTGTTAAGGTTCTGGTAGGAATTTGCTGGATGTGACTGCGGGAATTTTGCTTCCTGTCCTGCTCCCGGAGGCCACCTCCGAACCACTTGTGCTAGCCCCGGAGCGTCTGTGCTCCAAGCGTCAAAGAAAGGTAGGAATGTACCTGGCTTTCTTATCTGCACCCGGAATGTGGGTCTTCGTGTTTATTAACAGATTGTTTCAACAGATTGGGAAGCCATGTGCAGTGTAGACAATTTTTGGACAAAGCAAAGCAGAAATCAGTGTCTATCAAGTTCCACTTCAAGGTTTTCACCAAGGAAAATGAAGTCCTTACTATTAAGGCCTCATTGTGTCCTTTAGAAAGCATATGATGATACTGCTAACAAAGTAAGGTGCCCTTCTCTGCTTCCTGAGGTGATTTCTCCTCACTGAAGTCCTGAGATCTCCTCTGGTTTCCTGAAAGAAGTGATTAGTGTCCTAAGTCTTCTTAACACCAACTTGTTAGTTGGTACTGGTTGGTACCGGTTGATACTGTGCTCCGGCTTCCTCCCCAAGGCCGATGACACCCACCACTTCACTACTGACTACTTCCAATATTTTCATAGGCAAAGGCAATGTGAGATATGAAAGTATTTTATTTAAAGTATCTGTCAACGGTGCTACCGTCAGGCTCTTTAAATTATTTAATATTCCTACCCCCACAATGTGGTTGGTAATAATGTCTCTGTTTTCAGGTAAATAAACTGAGGCTCACCAAGGTTAAATAATTTGAATAAAGTGAAATAATTAGGAAGACTTCAAGGCAGTTTTTGAGCTCAAGTCTTCCTGCTTTTATGGTTGATGACATCTTTAAATTATCCCTGTTAGTAAAGCTTATGATATTTCTAAATGACAACGTTGGTACATTTTGTTTTTTAAAAACATAGTTATTTGTATGAAAATACAAACAGTAATTAAAGAGATTGAGATTTATCTATGTATTTAGTGTAACTTCAAATCTTACTATTTTATTGTATAATAGAATATAATATTATTTAAGGCAAAGATACATTATTTATAAATTAAGACATCATCACATGTATTTCTAAGGCTTATTATTATTTTATTGTGTAATAGAATATAATATTATTTAAGGCAAATTACTCTAAGGCCTATTTATTTTAGAGGGCCTATTGTAGAGATGTCCGGATTTATGAACTTCACTGCAATAATTGGATTTTTATAACTCTGCAACTGTATTCCTTATACTTACAAAATACGTCTTGTAAGATCTGTATTTTGGGGCAAATTTGATAAAACCATTAGCTCTTACTGATGCACTTTTAAGTTACATATTTGAAATCATCAGAATCACTTGAATGTATGCTCCATGAAAGCTGTATCTTCGGTGGCTAGAATAGTACCTGTACAAAATAGCTGCTTAATAAGCAGTTTATGAATCAATTTTAAAAACCTAATTTTCTTCCATTAAGACAAAATAATGACTTAAGAAAACACTCCTTATAGATTACTTTTGTCTGTTTATAGTAGACTGAACATTTTTGATAGCTCCTCATTTCTACTAGTAAAGTAAGGGAGATGATGAAGTCAGGAAAAGAACCTGAAGGTTTGCAGCAGCTGCTGTTGGGAATGGTAGCAAGAACTTGGCTATTAAAACAAACAAACAAGCATAGAAACAAAAAAGTTTGCATCCAGGAATTGATGATAGCAGTAGTTCTACAAAATTGTGTGAATTTGTGTAAAATATAATTCTAAATGCAGAATGTTTAATTAATCCCACTTTGGGGTTTTGCCAAGTGATTTGATAGAAAAACAAGGAGAAAGCTTGGATGCTGTTTTTAAGAGAATAGTTGAAGGACAGAGCTATGAGGCTCACTTAAGACTACATGAGAAAATAAGTGAAGACTTAAAAGGGGAGAGAGAAAGAAGCAAAGAACTACAAATCTTAACCAAAAAGAGAGATAGAAAAATAAGAAATTGTAGTCAGGAAGTGGGATGATTTTCTTGAAAGTTTTAGTAGTAGAATGATGGCTGGGTTATGGAAGAGTTAGAGTTAGCTGTTCCCCATAGAATGAAGATCAAGAAATTAGAGACTAAAGTATTGGAGAGGCTATCCACATGGACATTGAAGCCACCAACAGTGATGCCATGAGGTAGAGAAGGAATGAGTCAGATACCAGAGACTCTATGACTGTGGCAGAATGGTCAGGACATGAGTGAATGACTGTGCAGAATTGGGACAGAAGGTACACATGTAGGAGACAAGAGCCTGAACGGATCAGGGGCTGGCATGAGAGGTGGTCCAAGTTCAAAAGCAATACTGGGGAGCTACAAGGATGACAGCGCTGCCTTTCATGATCTTAGGGTGTTAGATAATGATCAGTCTACAATGAAGGGAGAGCCAGGGGAAACTATCCTCAGAAGAAAGCTGATTTTCACCTAAAGCAAGTAAATGGAGGAAGCAGTGTGTGAATAGGTTACAAGGTGGAGGGATTTTTTGTTATTGAACAAGGATTCCATAAGGTTGGAGAGGATAGGTTTAGGAGGCAGGGTCAGCTTCATGGCTGTGAACCTGTGCAGTAGGACAGGGCTCTACTCTTAAGAAGGCCCTGTGCTTGTCTCTTAATGCTCTGCTGTCCCTTCCTTGAAGTTCTTAAAAATTTTTAAACAAGTGACCCCACATATGCATTTTGCATTGGTCCCCACAGATTTGTCTGTTTTCTCCTCTTCTTATAAGGACACTTTTTGGATCAGGGTCCACCCAGTTAATCTGGGATGATCTCATCCAGAGCTCCTTACCATAATTACATCTTCAGAGACCCTTTTTCCCAAGTAAGTTTACATTCATGGGTACTGGGGTTGGAACTTGGACGTATCTTGTTGGAGACGAGCATGCAGTCCACTACAGCGAGGCTGGCTGAGGCCCTAGGAAGAGCCGGGCTGGATGACACTGGCAGCTGATAGCTTTTCAGGACTGTTTGGTAAACCAAGATATTTATAATAATATGAAGCTTGCCAGGCACGAAATTCATTCCAGCCACAAAATTTAATACATATGAAATCTAGAAGATTAACACTGCCCAGAGTGACTTTACATCCCTAAGGTTAGGTATCTGTCCTTGGGGACAAAAGGAACTGGGAAGAGGATTCGTGTACCTAGGACAGTGCTACATCTGGTTACGGTAGAAAACTTAGGAAATGGGATTCTCCACTCCTCTTCTTCAGCCACCTTCCATTCTGGAGGACACATGTGGTTCCCTGATCTGAAAGGAACATTTACAGGATGACCACATTTCATCCCTCCCCCAAAAAATAAGATTTAGAAGGGCTGAGGAGTGACCTTGTACATCTGTGGCAGAGACCGAGCTAGCTTCCCAAGTCATGCCTAACAGAGGACAATCTTAAAAGCTCTCAGAGAGGAGAGAAAGAAATTTTGAAACTGTGTGACTATGCTGACTATGCTGAGTTACTGTGTCCTCCTCCTCCAGCTGACAGGCGCTCTGAGAAACAATTGAGTAGCCAGAGCCAAATGGAGCTCTCCTTAAAAAACATCACACTCATTGGTCCTTTCTCCCTTCTGCTTATAACAGAATAGGAATCATAAATTCCATCAAAGATTCCAGCCATTATTTTCTGAGTGTTGACAATGAGAGGATCCCTAATTGTGGCAGTGGGGCAGCAGCATGACTGCACTGAGGGTTGGAGCCCATTAGAGGAGCATCCATCTTTAGGTTGGCCTCCAAGGAAGTTGCCCTGGGACCAAACGTGGTAATGTACAGGCCCATGGCAGAAGGAGGTGGAGCCTGAGCTGCCTGCTGGTGACCCTGCACCTACTGTGTGGCAGAAATGATGCCATAGACCCACATCCACCAACAGAGAGGTTGGGGCACAGTTGGCTTTCAGGAGATCAGAGGCTGTAGAGTGAGAGGCAGAGGCAGAGGAAGAGGAAGAGATTGCTTTCCTTTTAGTTTTTAAAGTAGACATTTCCTTAGAAAGTATTCCAAATTATCATTACATTCATGCATCCCTCCTGTTCCTGGTCAATGGGGCATCATTTTGCAGAGTAGCAGAGTATATGAAAAGAACACTGGGAAAAGAAATCTTGGATTCTAACCCGAAGTGGCAATGCCACTGATGGTGTGTAACTGCAGTAAAGTCAGTTTACTCTGAAGGGAAGGTATAGAACCAAAGATTGTCCTGCTCTAAAATTCTGTAAGTTTCTGCATTTGCTTCCTTGTCAAATTTTAACTCCTCAGTTCTTATCATTTCCCAGCACAAATTCTGTTTTCCAGATAAACTAATTAACTTGCCACTCCTTGTGACTTCCTCATTCCAACATTCATAACTGGTGCAGGGGGATGTGTTTATTTTCACTATCCTGACTCTTAAGCATTATCACTCAGTTTCTTCCAACTCCTGTTCGCAAATAATCTACTTGCAGAGACCTATTGACAAATTTTTTTTCCATCTCGAATCAATTCCTTCAAACATGTGTCAAGTTGCTTTCTAAATTTGATTGCCTTTCTCTCACATGTTAGAAGAGTATTGCAAGTTCAGATTAAAAGACTATATTATTCTCACATTTTTGGCATGTCCTTAACACCTTTCATGTGTGTTAATCCTCCTGATTACACTGTAAGTTCTTTAGCATGAAGCTTTTATACTCCATAATATACTTTCTAATTTCTTCCAGTAAATGAGACAATTCTGAATGCTTAAGGATCAATTTTAAAAATTTCTAACTCTTAGCCATCCACTGGTACAGCATTGACAAGGTGCTTGGCCCAGGGTAGGCATTCAGTAACAGTTTTTTGCATGAATATATAAGTAAATTCTTATCTTTCTACTCAATTATAAATATGTAATTACACATAAAAATACCAACCATTGCCCTCGTCTGTTCAATATAATGACCTTAACACTTGGCAAAAGCATCAAAAGAAATTAAAGAAATCTAAAACTTAACAAAGATATATTTGAGATTCACCAGTATGTGGTAATTTGTTTGCCCAAATAAGCTTTCATTTAACAGCATGTATAAGAAATAATTGAAAACATTTTAATATACTTTTATATGAATTGCTTCTGTGTACAGATTCATAAAATCAGAGATGAGTGCATTTAATTTAATTAAAAAATTAACTCATAACT